TCCATATTCTGCTCATGTCTTAGTTTGTTCTACAAGAAAGAAAAAAACAGCATTGAAGTTACTGCAACAACTGCAGCTTAGTGCTGTTTATGAAGGCTACTGCTAGCAACAGCAAACTCTTTGAATTCTTTGTCATGTCTTGTCCTCAAATGTTGAATCAAATTGCTGCTGTTAAAACATCCAACTTTCGCTCCTCCTCTTGACAGTTTAGCAGAGCACAGCAGACAGTCTGCTGGTTAGGTGTCCTCCGTGTCGATTTTAAAATATCTCCAAACTGCCGGCGTTACTTATTCTTCTACCATGATCATTCTTCTTCTGTTATTCAGGGGTGCGGTCGGAAATAACTTGTCAGTGCGTTAGCGCCACCGCCTGGTATGGATTGTTGTTTACCCTTTGTGCAGCAGCGCAGCACAGGAGGAACAAAAGCGGTATCGGTTAAGAGTATCGGCCGGCTTTTACGAGTACGAGTACGAGTACTTGATGCTGGTATCGGAACCGATACCGATACCAGTATCGGTATCGACACCCCTAATTCACATGTTTAATTTTTATTTTTTAATGTTTCTGTTTTTACCCCCCCTTTCCTTCTGTCCTCATGTGGACATGCTCGGACAAATGTCAAGTTCTAATAACGGAATGTTTCTTTTTCAGTGGGTGGTGAGAGTCAAACTAGCATTTTTAACTTTTAGGATTTGCCATGTCCAGGACAAGAGAACTTACATAACCCGTTACATACGTATGCTTAATCATACAGAAGTAGTCTTTTATAACATTTCGAAAGATGCTTTTTAAAAGCATGTCATCATTTGTCATATATGTTATTTATGATGTAATTGAAAGGCCTCTAACCTTTGTTCTCCATTTGTGCTGTAGGTTCTGAGCTCATGGTACAAAGCCCTGACTGATCATACTGCTGGTGCATACAGACCTACTACTGTGGTGAGTTATCCTCAGTCAGGTTTCTGCCAGCCTGGTGGCTGTGCACTGTCAGTCATTTTAAATGTGCCTTTAAATACTCTTAGTGAGACATCAAACAACACTGTGCTGTGGGGGGAGTATTATACTGGCCACGATAAATATCAAGCTATGAATGGAATATTCTATATTTAATCTCAGTAAGCAAATTAATCCAAATATTGTTACCATAAATGGCATCAGTAAGTATTACCATCTATGTAAACAAAGCCAATGGTCAAGGGCCTGTTTTCTGTTTTAAGGTATGCCATAACGTTAAAATGTGTCTGTGTCAAAACCAATACATTTTTCTCTTACTGCTCATATGGTCTATAGGCTGTAAATGAGTTGACAAAGTACGTACTAGAGTTGGGCTGTATTGCTAATTTTCATACCACAATATAATCTGTGTTGAATAATTAATAATTAATGGAGAAACGGTAAGCAGGGGTCGACATAACCATTGTTTAGGTTGTCCAAGACAACCTATATTCGTTTCGAACAACCAGATCCTGCCTCCCAGTTGTCCGGTGGACAACCAAGAAAAAAAGACGTAGATTAAAGTTTTCCGCCGCGGGTGTTCGTCATTATTAAAATGAACAGGAGAAAACAAACTTGTTAAAGCCATCTAGGGATTAAACTGACGGGTCTTTCACCCAATAAAATGAACCACAGTCAAAGTTTTACCCAATCAGAATAGTGCAAGGTGTGTCGTGCCGTCTGCAGCGGATGTGCGCTGCGTGTTTATTTATTTATTTTTTCTGTGGGTGTGGGGGGTCAGTTTCACTCAACTCAGGTGAACACTTCCCAGGAAAGCCCTCAGCATTTTCTGGACAATTTTCCACTGAGGATTACGTATTTATACATATTATATTTCTAAAAGCACCTCACAGCATTTCCATTGTAACACCATGTGTTCACAAGCACAACAAAACCGTAACAGATCACCTGACCGAGAGCTCAGAGGCAGTTTGACCGCAGCTGCAACTGTCAACCTGCTGACAGAGAACATTTGTAGTAAATTTTGTATACAGAACAATATAGCCTACTTATTAAATTACAGTTTTGAGATTTTTTTTTTGCACAACCAAAATGTTTTGCTGACAACCAGATTTTGTCAACAGATTGTCCGCTTGTCCATTGGACAACCTGAAAAAATTCCTTATGTCTATGTCCTAATGTAAGAGTTTACATTTATAAAGCCAGAGAGAGGCCTGGGAAAAAACTCCTCTGCTCTGACGATGCCTGCCAGGAGAGAAGTTACAGAATGTCTCTTGCCTCGAACAGATCATAATTCTTTTTAGGGTTTTAAGTTTTAAAATAATCTGACTTTTACCACAGTTGTATCCTCACTGCTGCATACGTTTAGCCAGCCTTTGTGCCTATAAAGTTTGTAGTTCTTTTCCAGAGTTATTTCTTCATCTACAGCGAGCAGCGCTCATCTGTTAGGTCAGTTAGCTCTTATCTACCAGCAAAATGACACCCATTTTGCTTTTAAATATAATTCTGTTTTCAGACAAATATTTGCAACAATTGTTTGTACTATTTCAGACTTGCTACAGAAGCTAATAACCCAGGTAATTCATTAACATCAGTGCTCAGTGTTACTTTACAAAGAGCAAACAGCAGAGAATATGTAATATTCTGTGCACCTAAAAGAGACATAGAGCAAACCTTAGCTGTGCTGTCTCAGCACTCACATTAAATATGTGACTGATGTTTCCCTCATATCATTTTCAAAATAGGAACTTAGTTTAGTGATCGTCTTTCTGGTTAACCAAAACTTTTAACTGCAATGCAAAGTTGCTGGGCATCATAATTAGAGCTGCCACATACGATTATTTTTATTGTCGATTAATCACCGATTACTTTTTCGATTAGTCGACTAATCGGATCATACGTTAATTGAATATAAAACATACAGCTTATCGCGCCAGAATGCAGCTGCTATTATATAACCATGGTTAGATTTTAGCTATATGCTAAAAAAATATTGCTGTGGAAGGCAGGTTCTTCTCTTTCATTTTCTTAAAATGATCCCACACTTTTGAGCTCCGTTGCTGGGTAGCCATGATACCAGARCCTGTCTGTATAATGTCTTGTGACGTCCACGGCCTACCCCAGTTACCACTACTGTGCATGTGTGTCAACGACAGAAAGGCAAATGTGGCAGTGGAAGGTGTCAAAGCAGTTTGGAGAGAAAAACAAAGTAAATAACAAAAAAAGAGAAAACTATTAATCGATTATTAAATTAGTCATCGATTATTTTAATAATTGATTAGTCGTCGACTAATTGACTAATCGTGGCAGCCCTAGTTAATATACAGAACTCACAAAGGTGTGTTACCTTCCAACATTCAAGTAAAGTTTGTTAAAAGAGAGAGCTGTTATTATCTTAAGGGAATCAAAGTGTTTGTGAAACCCTGGTTTCGTACGAGCCCGAAGGAGCGATCCACTTTAATCCAGGGAATAAGATTGTGGAACGGTCTGGAAGATGAGGTTAAAAATGCCAGATCTTTGTAAATATTAAAGAGAATGATAAAATCTAGTATTCTGAAGAAATATGGAGAAGTATAAGTGAATCCATGCAAATTGTTGTTTGAGTTGGTGTTTTAAGTTTAGCTTTGTTTTTTGTGTGTTTTCAGTTTTTTGATTGTTATAATTTACTTTCATTTTGAACATATTCTGGGGATAAAAATGAGGCAGATATAAGATTTATTCTTCTTCTGCTGCCTTTCATTTTATTTGATTTTATTTTGATTGCATGTTTTTTGTGCTTTGTTAAGTGTTACAAATGAAATGAATACATTTCTAAATAAATAAAATCTTCTGGGGTTAGTGTCATAGACCCACACACATTGTGTTTCATAAGGGCATTAAGGGCTTACTAACTAAGGGTCCACTGTTTCAAAAAACTATTGCGGCACACTCCACCAGAACTATAACCACTTCCTGGGCTGCTTTTAAGGGAATATCAATTACACAACTATGTGCAGCCTCATCATGGTTTCCCATGCACCTTGTTTTGATTTTACAGAGTCAGTGTGGTGAGGCCAACACAATTGCTCAGTTGTATTTTCAGCAGCAGGACAAGTGGTCGAATCCTTCATCCTCTTGACCCTGCTGATAGTAAGTTGTTCAAGGGGAAAGACTGTGGTGATGATCTGAGTGAGGTTGAAGTAGATCATGAGTTATGTTATAACTGTGGACCAATGAGACTGAACAATGACCCTCACTACTCCAATGGGCTGAGATGTTCTAGATAACAGGAAGAGACATGTTCACCCAAATGTATTTACAGGCAGCAAGCCAAGCCTCTTAAGGGCAGTCACATGACTTTGTTGATATAAAGTCTCAAAGATAGGTGGAGGAATGGCACCATTCATGGAGAAAGACTACAGTGTTGGTCATCCTTTGGTCTCATAGGTCCACAGTTATAACATAACTCAGTTTTTTCATTCTTGGGTCAGTTGTATGGAACATTTTCCAGATTTTTTGGCTGTTTTGACAAGTTCACAGTTAGGATATTCACATTAGGGGTGTCCCGATACCAGTTTTTTCAAGACTGAGTACAAGTACGAGTACTTCAGTTTAGGTACTCACCGATACCGATACCAAGTAGCGGNCGGCCTACCCCAGTTACCACTACTGTGCATGTGTGTCAAGGACAGAAAGGCAGATGTGCCAGTGGAAGGTGTCAAAGCAGTTTGGAGAGAAAAACAAAGAACAACAAAAAAAAAGAAAACCCAAAAAACGATTAACCGATTATTAAATTAGTCATCGATTATATTAATAATCGATTAGTCATAGATTAATCGACTAATCGTGGCAGCCCTAATCATAATCAATCATCTACTGTATGCTGTGAGTCTGTTTATTGGTGTTTAGGTGTTCACTATGTCAAACTGCAAAAACACTGAATTTGTAAAAATTAAAGTAGTACAGCAGCATGGTGGCTCAATTGGCTGAGCTGTTGCCTCTCAGCAAGAAAGTTTACAGATCAAAATCCCAGCTTGGCACCTTTGTGGGTAGAGTTTGCATGTTCTCTCTGTGCATATTTGGGTTTTCTACGGGTACTACGGTTTCCTCCCAACAAACCAGAAACATGACTGTTAGGTTAATTGGTAACTCTAAATTGACCTTATATTTTGGTGCTTTTTAATAAACAGTGAAAATTAACATTAGCCTTTGATGAATATCAAATGTAAGTGATGATAGAAACATTCCTTTCACCTTTATTTAAACTCACTGGATTTTCTCTGCCTCTTAAAAACCATTTAGTAAGCTCTGTTTGTGTGCGGGGGGATTTCACTCGTCTTTTCTTTGTTTCTTTTTTGTAAGTCATTCTCCTTTTGTGTTTATTTTTATGTTTGAATAAATTGGTATTGTTGCCACAGTCGTGAATACACTCGGTACATTCAGTACATCAGAGTTTGGAACATCTGTGTTTACAGCTGTGAAATAGGTCCACACTAGGATCTCACTGCATCCTGCTTGAGTCTGCTCACTGATCAGCACCACAGAGTCATGTGACAGCACTCAGCTGAGCAGGGGAGGGTGAGGAGCAAAGTTTTGCCTGCAGCACTTGATGGAATGGGAGTAGCATACTGAACGTAGAGTAGAGAAACAAAGTAAAGTATCCATCCAGTCATGCTGGTTTTAATTGACGTTTGTGCCAATAATATTGATATTTAGATGGATCCATCCACCTCTATCAAACAGACCATATATCATCGCCACATCACTTTTATTGTGCTGCAAAGCTGGCTTACCTTTTCACATTTACACTTTCAAAGCATGACAGTGGTAGGCAAGTTTTAACCCCCCCACCCCCCCACCCTGCATCAGTCCTTTTAGAAATCCCCGCTGTCAGTTCCCGCTTAAAGTGTTTTGTAAAAATGCCTTCTAGCACTAGTAGCAACAGGAGACAAGCTACTTTCTTCTTGTTGCCTTTCTTTTCTTAACAGCTGAGACTAACACTTTCA